GTTTTAAGAAAACACTTAAGCTGCGCGACTTAAGAAAAGACTGACGGCGCGACCTAAGAAAACATTTAAGCCGCGCGATTTAAGAAAAGACTTAAGCGGCGCGACTTAAGAAAAGATTTAAGCGGCGCGATATAAGAAAATTTTTAAGCGGCGCGACTTGAGAAAAGACTGTCGACCCGACTTTAGCAAAGACTTAAGTGCCGCGATTTAAGGAAAGACTGACGGGGTGACTTAAGAAAAAACTGACGGCGCGACCTAACAAAATACTGACAGGGCGACTTAAGCTCGCGGCGCGACTGCAAAATCCAGTCTTAAAACGGTATGCGGCGCAATTTACAAAATTTTTTCTTCAGTCGCGTACCTCGACCCGGGTCATTCTAAACTTCACAAAAAGTACCGTTTTTTTTTAATCGCAAAACATTTAGACGCTGTTTCCTTAATGCAATTGAAACAGCAATTTTTTTATAACGAATTAAGTTCAAATACTGTTCTTTTAGGGTAGTTTGCGCATTTTTTACGTAATGCTACAAACACATCCCATTATTATCACGAGATTCCTTCACATTCTGTTTTTCATCGTTTGTAGAAAAATTCAGGGAAAAACCAAACTGCAGTTGCTTGGGCCCAACAAGCTATGCTTTTTGCAAGAGAGCTCAGCCTGCAAACTCAACAGCAAGAGTGAATTCCAATCTGGCAAGACAGGAATGCTATCAAACATTACTATTTTTTGCCTCATGTTTTTTCTTACTCTGCTTTAAAATTTTCTCTTGATATTGTAATGCACAATTATTCAAATGCAGCGTGGTGAAAAACTTGTTGTTCGCATTTTCACAGAAAGTGAGGAATGTATATAATTGAGTTCGCTGTTTTTATTCCGACCAATCTAACAAGATTGAGGTCTCTTGGAGGATCGATCACTTGATCTGCTCTGCACCAGCGTAGTGTTCTCCCGACTTTGCCATGTGTCTCTCTAAACTGCATGAGGTCGTCGTTGTGTGTTCAGAATTAATAATCGCCACGCAGGTCAAAGTCAAGTCTAAGGATGAGCCTGCGAAGTCTAAATATAAGTCTGCAAAGTCTGAACATGAGTCTGCAAAGTCTGAACCTAAGCCTGCAAAATCTGAACCTAAGTCTGCAAAGTCTGAACTTAAGTCTGCAAAGTCTGAACGTAAGTCTGCAAAGTCTAACCATAAGTCTGCAAAGTCTAATCATAAGTCTGCAAAGTCTGAGCATACGTCTGCAAAGTCTCAACATAAATCCATATCATCAGTCTATCTAAACCATTTTTTTAACAAAACCAAGGCCAGCCTTGATATTAACAAAGAGAGTGCTGGCTCAGCTCAAAAATGACCTTGATGCTTCTCAAAAAATGTGCAGTTGTGCTGGCTGTATTCTTGGAGGCATCACTCATCCACCTTCTATATTTTGAAACTAGTGTTCTAAATGACACTTACTGGTCTTTTTGGGTCGCAAATCATTGTCTCAAGAAACTATGCTTGGGGTGGTTTTTTATTCAGTAAATTTTTCAAATAACTCGGATTAACGCTCGAAATGTCAAACTCATCGTTGTGAATTATATGTCTGGCAATTATAAACTACGCTGATGTTAATCAAAACGATCTGCAAACCTTAAACTTAACCTTGTCTTTTTGAAAGCTAAATTTTTTTTTTGTACGTGAACAATTCAAAAAAATTGCTTACTAATTCAAACTACATTTTTATAAGGTCGCCCAACGCTTCATTACAGCTGTCGGGGAAACCATTTTATCAAACTTTGTAAAACTGAATGGCATTTAAAACGTTATTTGAATTTGTTTTAGAGCAGGTTTCACATTTATAGCAAAATTTTTTGTTATTTCGGACAATGATGATCAAAGTAAGTGTAATTAGTTTTGTTTTATTGATTTGTATTTGTCGGTTAGTTTTCCGGGCCGAGATCCGACGATACTTATGTTGCAACTGAGTCGAGAATATGGACTCTATGCCACAAAAAATGTTTGATTCATTGTTCGCAAATTCGCAACATGGGATGTGTACAGTCGCATCGTACCTAAATATATGCGCGCAAAATCACAGCACGGGTTGCGCAAAGTCGCAATATGAGTCGCACGAAAACGCAAATCGAATTAGTTAGATTTTTTTAAACAAAATTAGAACAAAAATGCATGCAAAAATTGGAAATCTATTAATTTGAAAAAAATTTTCGTAACAAAAAAATCACATATTATGAAAATTCATGATTTTACTCTGGTCGAGCTTCGCCGAACACAATCACGTGAAAAGTTGAAAATGAGAATTTATTTGTTTTGGGTCGCGGAAAGTCAAGCAAAACACTTCGGTCAGGAAAAAAAGAAAAAAAACTTTTTTGGGTCGCGCAAAATCAGGCAAAACACTTGGGTTGCGCATAACTGAGACATGCCTTTTTTTGGGTCGCGCAAAGTCGCGACATACCTTTTTTGTCGGGGTATACCTTTTTCGAGTCGTAATGGTTGGTGGTCAAATCCCCGACCTGGGCTTGTTTCTGATATAGTGTCGTGTCATCTTTCGATGAAAACCTTACATATGAAGAAAACTTTAAATAAAATTATCTTTGTTGACTAATTATTATCTCTGTTGCACTATCTTATCTAATTATTGTATTCCTTTTGTTTTTTTTACAAATTTGCATCTAGGTTTGGTCCCAAAGTTTGATTTCTGTGATATTTCACGTTTGTCCAGACTTTAGCGGCAATTTTTCGCCATTTTCAGTTTTCGAGACTAAGTTTTGGCATGTCCAGTACACGTAAATTTCAATGAAGTACCACGTGATAGTTCTAGACGCAAAAAACGACCATTAGAAGGCCAAACTGTTCATTTTGTGAATTTTACGCTGAATCTGCAACAAGGACGCTCCCTTTGTTCTTCTTTTGTTCTTTATATTCCTTTGATCGTTCCGACAAAATTTCAATATGCTTAAGGACTTACAACTTTAAGAAAAGGTTCCTATAAATTTGAATTTTTAAATTACCAGACATTGATCAAGGCAAACAAAAACATGTCATACAAAAAGAGAAATTTTAAGCGTTTTTGAAAAAAGTTATGAAAAGAAAAGGAAAAAAAAGCCAATATTAGTATATCCGGGACTACGTTATACACACAAAAAATTAAATTTTCCATGCAAAATTTTTTTTTTCAAAAAATGTTTGTTTGAATACGAAAATCAATTTGCGGTTGAAAAATTACACAAAAAATGTTTGGGGGCAATTTCAAAAATACTTTTGTCGTCGCCATCAAAAAAATGCTATAAATACAATTTCCATAAATGGAAATTGTATGACTAGTGTTTTTTTTTTCAGAAAACAAAAATGAAAAAAGTCAAAGTTTTCAGTTTTAGCAGCCTAAACAGCGCTTAAATGTTTTGCCAGCAGTTGAATCAATTGTTCAAAGCTTTTTTTTCACAAAATTTGAAAACAAAAAATGCTAATCATACAGTTTCCATAAATGGAAATTGTATGATAAGCATTTTTTTCATACCATTTTTTTCCTTTTTTTATGAAGAGATACCAATTTTGATACCAAAACAACTATAAAATACCTTTGAAATTCGGTTAAATTCATTTTGCAATATTGTATGAAATTTGTATGACTAGCATAATTTCCATAGACTAGGTGTATGAAATTGTATGATTAGCATTTTCGGTCTATGGAGGTCAACCCGGGATGCGTGTAACAAATTTGATTCATCCATACATACAGGCATACCCGTTTTGCCCACCATAGAAGATAATGCGCAACCATGCACATCCATCCATGATTTGTATGGAAAATGTCTAATCATGCGTAGCACATACGTTGGTTTCGAAAACCCTCGAAATAGCTTTTTAACTGAGTAAATTAGTAATAAAACGGTTTCTCATCATTATGCAAGCTGTTGGTAAAATATCAAAAATTTTCACCATGCAAAGCATACGTCGCACCATATATGGTGCTATTAATGGAAACGTTGTTTCCATACAAAAACAACTTTAATTGAGAATGCGATATGACAACCAACACCAAATTTTTGTTTAATTTTGGGGTTTTTTGCAGTTTCAAATATTGACAAGTAGGCTGAGAACATACTTTTGGACAAAAAATGTGTGAAGAAAAGTGAAAAAAAAATGTTTGATTTTTTTTAATCTTTGATTTTTTAGAAAAAATTTTCATTCCGCTTTTTGAATTGCTACAATTTTTTTGTATCGCAAGTGATGCGAAGCTCTGCTTCGCCTCTGTTGAATTGTTTTTGTTGATGGTCATTATGTTGTTTTATGTATTGATAATCTTTCATATTTCTGAAATTCTTCATTGTTTTAGACAGTTTTATGAAAGTTATTCAGCCATCACGAGTCATGTTTTCCGGTGTCATTAGGTAAAATTTTCTACATCAGATAAGAATGTGCTTTGCTTGGATACCAAATTTTTGCTCTGAACGGCGAAAAAAAAACATTTTTACTACTAACGTTTTTGAGGTCGTTCAGAGCACTTTTTGGATTCCCACGAGATTATTAAATTGATTTGATTATTCAGTTTCTATGTCGCGCCAAATATGGTTCTTTGTTAATCATATGTCGCGCCATATATGTTTCCATGGTATCCATACGTCACGCCATGCATGATACCATAGTAACCATACGTCGCGCCATGCATGATACCATTGTAACCATACATTGCAAGCATCCATGGTGACATATAAGTTATCAACAGCCCTGGTAAAAGTATCAATATTGTCTAATTTGAGGTCCCCCATAATTTAAAAAAATGTGCAACCATACGTCGCGCCATGCATGGAAAATGTGTTCTTTTAACATAAAAATAGGTCGGCAATTTTTCATGGCTTCCATGGAATCATGCATGGTGCGACGTGTGGTTGCGCATTTTGGTCAGCCCGGGTAAGCATATGTTAACATAGATTGAAATTAACTTACATACTACATATGTCATGTCAAAAGAAAAACATGATTGGCGATAGAATCAATACTAACTAGGAGTAGAGCCACCCATCTGTTTTTCATCCCAAAATCGACATACACCAATAAGTATCCAGAGAGAGACACTTCCACAGCCACGATCAGAGTGGCGGCACTGGCCAACAGCAGACCAAACAGAACAGTCGAGCTGCAAAACGAGGAATTAAAGGACTTATGACCATATGAAATCAAGTTTCGTGCCATCAAGTTTACTACATGCAATCCTAGTTCCATTTAAGTTATTGCTTCTAGCATTTAGATAGCAAATCATTTAATTTAAAAAAAATCATTTTCCTAACCCCTAAATGCTCATTCTTAACTCTGATTTATTTTTATAAGATGTCAGAAAAAAACATGATCTCAAAAAACACTCTTACTGTATTTCGACAAATATTAGGGATCCAGGGCCAAAGAGAAAAATTAGGATCAATTTTAGACTATCCGGCCGGAAATAGATCCATCTCTTCTCTTCTCGTGTAACCAACGAGTCTCATTAAAAAACTCACCTAATTTAGATAATTGAACAAATCAGACTTCAACAAGTCAATGACTCATCAAATAACAGCAAACAACTTTAGCAAAACATTACAAAATAAAACAAATTAATCAGTAAAACACAAACAAAACAGATCGTATTATGTTAAAGCCCTGAATGTTCCGACTATTTTTTAACGTTTATTAATAATGTTCAATTAAAAAAATTTGATGAAAAATCCAAAAAAAAATGAAAATTTTGAATTTTTTTTTTGGATTTTTTATCATTACCTCACACGCTGTCTAAACAAGAAAAGGATATATTTTGCATGTAGTAAATTTTTAAATAAACTAAATAGCATGACTCAGTATCAGTCTAAGTTTCGGAATATATCTCCGCTTAAGTGTTAATAGTACGAATTACATCGCGTGGTAATGATCATTAACAATCATATTAATAAAGTCGATTTGTGACTTCCTGATATCTTAAATTTAAATGTGAACACTCTTCAACATTTGACTGAAAGATAAAATTGGGAACTAAATATGAGAAATGATTGAATTGAAAGCTCAAAAGACTAATGGTTCGGCAATCATGGCGACCACAATCTTCTGATGTGCACAATACTTCCCGCTTGACAAGGGATCTGGACGCCTCTACCAGTACTCCACATCAATTTCATCCAGGTTCTTAAAAAGGATCAGGACCAGGCAAGATCTTTCCAAAACTTGTACTAGCCTTCACACAAAATGTATACAAAAAAACAATCAGTTACGGCTGCGTTTCATTGTTGTATTGATTGCAAATACGAGTTTGATTTGATTTGCAAATGCGAGTTTGATTTGTATGGGTTGCAAATACGAGTTTGACAAAAATTGTGAGTGAGGCAATTTTTACTCAAAGGACCGAAGCCTGTTTTTTCTCTCAAAAATTGTTATACAAACAAATGTACATAAATGGCGATTTCATATGTTGCTTTATCAGTTCATACGTCATACAGTTTTATTTCGTCAGAATGCTTTTCATCAAAATTTTTAGATACATTCTTTGCTGCACTAATTTAAAATATTGAAATTCTCCTCGGGGGAACAACGATAGATTTCAAAAAAATATTCCCTTTTTGGATTTTTAAACTTTGTGTTCCTGACCCAGCAATAACTTAGATTTCTTTAAAAAACAAAAGCGCTGTGAAGTTCATAACTCATCTAGTATAATATAACAAACAAAAACAAGGTTGATAAAATTTCTTTAAATTTTCAAAAAAAAAATATTAATAAACAGTACGCGTAATAACGTTTCCTAATCAATGTAATAAGGTTTTCAAAGTCAGTTGAAATTTTCTACTGGCTTCATAAAAGCTTCTACCTGCTACACACAAAAAAAGTTGCTAACGAATTCAAAATTTGAATTTTAATTGATTTAACTCATACAGACTAAAAAAAATTTTTGGGCAATATCACGCACGATATTTTTTATATAAGAATTGCGGCTGTCATCAGGAACGGTGCGATGCTACGGCATCCTACGACGAAGACTACAACGACTTACAACATCCACTTCAACAAGATTTTTTCAATTTATTGGAGCTTTTGATACCTTACAAACTTATTTCAAAGCTTGTCTCGAGCTTTACGCTGGTCGCCTTCCAGCCTGAATAGTTTGTTCGTCAGATCAAACGTACGTCTACAAGGTTGGTTCCGCCCAGCTTTTGTCTCGCTCGCTAGTCATCTCTAGCTTCTCTCGTTTGCTCGACAGATCAAACCTGTCTCCTTAAAGTTGGTTAAACCCAGCTTCTTGGTCCCTTCGCTAGTAGTCTCTAGCGTTTTCTGTTTGTCCATAAGGGCGGACTTTTCTCCCGAAAGTATGTTCCGCCCACCTTTTGTCTCGCTCGCTAGTCATCTCTAGCTTTTCTCGTTTGCTCGACAGAGCAAACTTTTCTCCTTAAAATTGGTTAAACCCAGCTTCTTCGTGCCTTCGTTAGTAGTCTTTAGCACTTTCCGCTTGTCCGTACGGACAAACTTTTTTCCTGAAAGTCGGTTCCGCCCAGCTTTTGTCTCGCTCGCTAGTCATCTCTTGCTTTTCTCCTTTGCTCGACAGAGCAAGCCTTTCTCCTTAAAGTTGGTTAATCCCAGCTTTCTCGTTTTGCTAGTAGACCTAGAATTTTCCGTCTGTTCGTCAGAGCAAACCTTTCTCCTTGAAGTTGGTTTAACCCAGCTTCCTGGTAATTTCGCTAGTATATCTAGCATTTTTGTTTTTCAGGTAGAACAAACCGTTCTCCTTAAAGTTGGGCTTCGCTAGTTGTCCCTAATTTTTACCGTTTGACCGTCAGAGCAAACTTTGCTTATAACAGTACTCGTGCTTGTGTCTTTTACAGCAAAGCTCTCTTCAAAATAACCTGTCGCCACTGGTTTTCCCTTGCTTGACCTAGGACACTACTTGACTAGTTCTTCTAAACTTTTATCCCTTTATCTACTTTGTTTTGTTGATCGGCTACGCAATGGCTCCTAAAGTTCATTAGAAGAACTTGAACATTAACTGACATCCCAAGAAATCGACGATGTTAAGCTTTCTTTCGAGGAATTTGTTACTCTGGTAACAGAAATTGAAAAAATTGCTGATGAATTAGCTTTTTTTTCTTCTGAAGAAGTCAACGACTGTTTAGAACGTACTTCTACATTGCGCAATAGAAAATTGAAAGCAATTAAGCAAGGGAAAAGTACGAGAAGACTTGCATCGGAAACGAAACATGATTCAATCATAGCTTAGTTGCTCCAGCTGAAAACAACCTCATAGCTTTTTTTGCACCAGTGTGTATTTCCAACGATAACTCAGTTGCTACAGCAACAATAACCGCCAGCCGGTCTTCTGAACCACCGGACTTCTTCTTCATAACTGAAACAACCAGTGTCGGAATGTATAGTAACGAACAGAGGTACTCCATTTTGGACCAAGGTCCATCAAAATGTGTGACAATTTAAGATTGTAACTCTTCTGTAGATGAGAACCTACTTAGAACTCTACACGATTCAAGCATCTGTACCAGCTCTCCTTATCGAGCAGAGGCTCCAGTAACAAAAAAGATGACGTGAAATTTTAACAATTTCAGTAGAACATCCATTTAGCCTCCACAACACTTTGGAGGCTTGTATGATTCAATTTGAACAACATTCCTTTCTCCAATTCTGCATCCCAGAACTAAGGGTTTTTCATGGTCAGACTTCAACATTTGACAGGCCATTGCCAACCGCTACAACTAGTAGCCCTCTTCGGTCAGGCACACAATATGGTCATCGATGGACCTCAACTGACGAAATGAACAACAACAAAAGTTCGCAGCCATTGTTGACTAGTTCGTCTAATCCACAAGACAACACATCACATCTGCTTATAGCTTGAAAGTTTTTAAACTTCTCAATATACGTCTATTGATTTCGATGGAAATGCACTTGATTGTAACAATTGGTTTGAACTATATCAAACATCTATTGGAAAGAATCCTCGTATAAGTCCTATGCAGAAAATTACATATCTTCAAACACTATTTACAGGTTACATGCAGCGCAAAAATTTTATCAGAGAGTTATGGCGCAGACTCTAGCCAGTATGGCCAGGCTATAGAAGAACTCATTCGTAGGTTTGGTAACTCAAAATTCATTGTGGCTGCCTACATAAAACAACTCGAAGACTTCGAGCGTGCAAATCCTCGCAACCTTTTGTCATTTGTGAGGTATTCGAATTTCCTCCGCAAGCTCGTTTATAACTTTCAAGCTAAGGCGCAAAGACTTTTGTAGCAAGAGGGTCACTGAAAAGTTTTCAAATTCCAAAGAGTCACAATGGAATCATTTTTCAGGGAATCGCAACCCAGCTGATTATGCCACAAGAGGAATAAATTCTGGTTCCAGTCTCCCGACTTCCTAATGACACCGGAATTGGAGTGGTTTAAGCCTCCAAGTTCTTCAGCGCAAGACAAGGAGAGGACAAGCCTCTAATCGATTTTTCACTTTTCTCTGATTGGCTCAAGTTACTCAAAGTAACTACGATGATTCTAATGTTTATTAGCTCGTTAAGGAACAAAGAAAAAAATTGCCGATTGCATATTACCGGGATTCAGCAAAATCCCTCATTTCTGAAATTTGACTTGAAAAAATTTTCCCAGAAACCATCAAACGATTACAACTAGGGAAATCCGTTGGCTCCAAACCGTTATCTTCTTGGCAGAACTTTTCTGTACACACCATCAGCGGCCTTCAGTGACCAGCCAATCAGTAAGCTGTTCGCGAAGTCTTGGAGATTGGTGAAAGAGGAAATGGGTTGCTTCTGGCGCCGTCTGCTGAAAAAATATGCCCCGACATCTAATCGGCGCTCGAAATGGTCATATCCAGAGATGTCATCAAAACTGGAGACCTCGAATGGATACTGGAGAACTTCATCCCACTTGCAATCTAGCCACTTGGACGAATCATCGAGATTTCACCGGGTCTGACAGTAGAGCGCGCTCGTGCGTAATAAAAACAGCGCTAGGGAAAAAACTCGACCCGGCGTAAAATTAGCTTTGGTAACACCTAGGGAAAACACTAAGGGCTCCACCGAGGACTTTAATGATCATAAACAATCAAAATACTAATTCGAATTGCAACTTCCTGATATCTAAAATGTAAATGTGAACACTTTTA